CAATATCACTGTGAAGTGTAATATATCACTTCAAGTACAATATCACTGTGAAGTGTAATATATCACTTCAAGTGTAATATAACTGTGAAGTGTAGCATACCACTTCAATTGTAATATAACTGTGAGGTGTAATATACCACTTCAAGTACAATATCACTGTGAGGTGTAATATACCACTTCAAGTTTAATATAACTGTGAGTTTTATTATACCACTTCAAGTGCAATATAACTGTGAGGTGTAATATACCACTTCAAGTGTACTATAATTGTGAAGTGTAATATACCAATTCAAGTGTTATATAACTATGAAGTGTAATATACCACTTCAAGATACTATAACTGTGAGGTGTAATATACCACTTCAAGTGTAATATAACTGTGAGGTGTAATATATCACTTCAAGTGTTATATGATTGTGAAGTGTAATATACCATTTCAAGTGTAATATAACTATGAAGTGTAATATATCACTTCAAGTATAATATCACTGTGAAGTGTAATATTCCACTTCAAGTGTAATATAACTGTGAGTTGTATTATACCACTTCAAGCACAATATCACTGTGAAGTGTAGCATACCATTTCAATTGTAATATAACTGTGAGGAGTATTATACATTTGATGTGTAATATACCACTTCAAGTTTAATATAACTGTGAAGGGTAGCATACCACTTCAATTGTAATATAAGTACAATATCACTGTGAAGTGTAGCATACCACTTCAATTGTAATATAACTGTGAGGTGTATTATACATTTGATGTGTACTATACCACTTCAAGTGTAATATAACTTTGAGGTGTAATATATCACTTCAAGTGTAAGTTAACTGTGATGTGTAATATATTACTAAAAGTGTAATATAAGTATGAGATGTAATATACTACTTCAAGTGTTATATCACTTTGAGGTGTAATAAACAACTTAAAGTTAATATAACTGTGAGGTGTAATATATCACTTCAAGGTTGATATAACTGTGAGGTGTAATATAACTGTGAGTTGTAATATACCGCTACAAGTGTAATATAACTGTGAGGTTTAATATACCACCTCAAGTTTAATATAACTGTGAGGTTTAATATACCACTTCAAGGTTAATATAACTATGAGGTGTAATATACCACCTGAAGTTTAATATAACTTTCAGGTGTAATATACCACTTCAAGCGTAATTTAACTGGGAATTGTATTATATCACTTCAAGGTAAATATAACTGTAAGGTGTCATATACCACTTCAAGTGTAGTATAACTGTGAGGTGTTATATACCACTTCAAGTGTAATATAACTGTGAGGTGTAATATACCATTTCAATTGTAATATAACTGTGAGGTGTAATATATCACTTAAAGTGTAATATAACTGTGAGGTGTAATGTATCACTTCAAGTATAATATCACTGTGAAGTGTAATATACCACATCAAGTGTAATATCACTGTGAAGTGTAATATACCACTTCAAGTGTAGTATAACTGTGAGGTGTAATATACCACTTCAAGTGTAATATAACTGTGAGGTGTAATATCCCACTTCAAGTGTAATATGACTGTGAGGTGTAATATACCATTTCAATTGTAATATAACTGTGAGGTGTAATATATCACTTAAAGTGTAATATAACTGTGAGGTGTAATATATCACTTCAAGTATAATATCACTGTGAAGTGTAATATACCACTTCAAGTGTAATATAACTGTGAGGTGTAATATACCACTTCAAGTGCAATATAACTGTGGGGTGTATTTTACATGTGAAGTGTAGTATACCACTTCAAGTGTAATATAACTGTGAGGTGTAATATACCACTTCAAGTGTTATATAACTGTGAGGTTTAATATACCACTTCAAGTGTAATATAACTGTGAAGTGTAGTATACCACTTCAATTGTAATATAACTGTGAAGTGTAATATACCACTTCAAGTTTAATATCACTGTGAAGTGTAATATAGCACTTCAAGTGTAATATAGCTGTGAGGTATAATATACCACTTCAAGTGTAATATAACTTTGAAGTGTGATATAACTGTGGGGTGTATTATACATGTGAGGTGTAGTAAACCACTTCAAGTGTAATATAACTGTGAGGTGTAATATACCAGTTCAAGTGTAATATAACTGTCAGGTGTAATATACCACTTCAAGTGTAATATAACTGTGAGGTGTAATATACCACTTCAATTGTAATATAACTGAGAAGTGAAGTATACCACTTCAATTGTAATATAATTGTGAGGTGTAATATACCACTTCAAGTTTAATATAACTGTGAGGTGTAATATAACTGTGAAGTGCAATGTTACTGTGAAGTGTAATATAACTGTGTAGTGTAATATAACTGTGAGGTGTAATATATCACTTCAAGTATAATATCACTGTGAAGTGTAATATACCACTTCAAGTGTAATATCACTGTGAAGTGTAATAAACCACTTCAAGTTCAATATAACTGTGGGGTGTATTATTCATGTGAGGTGTAATATACCACTTCAAGTGTAATATAACTGTAAGGTGAAATATACCAATTCAAGTGTAATATAACTGTGAGGTGTATTATTATTCTATTATGGCCCTTTCCCGAGGGAACTGTTCTCTTATGGTGTTGTCGGGGGAGGTATGGTGCCCGAGCCGTTAGGCGAGGGCACTATACCTCCCCAGACAACACTATAAGAGAACTGTTCCCGAGGGAAAGGGTCATAATAGATTTAGTACATCACATGACTGTACTAACTGTGACTGCAAATTGTGTCGCCTGCTTCGTTTTCATACATTGCTGAGCGTCTGCAAATCAATCGGCATTCCCGGTCCCGAATATCGAAGCCATTTTGGCAGACGACAACAATGAACTGAAAGTAGAATATGTATAGCGCCCCCTAGGGGAAAGGGCGCAACTCTTGGCGTCACGCTACTTTTCCCGCAGTCTCAGCGGTCCAAAAAAAAGGTATAGTGCCCGTCTCCAGGTATAGTTCCCGTCGTCAAGGGCGGATGCTAACTATACCAAATAGAGCAAGGGTAGTTATCCAATAGCTATCCTAGTAATTATCATGTGATGTACTAAACCACTTCAAGTGTAATATAACTGCAAAGTGTAGTATACCACTTCAATTGTAATATAACTGTGTGGTGTAATATACCACTTCAAGTTTAATATCACTGTGAAGTGTAATATACCACTTAAAGTGTAATATAACTGTGAGGTGTAATATACCACTTCAAGTACAATATCACTGTGAAGTGTAATATACCACTTCAAGTGCAATATAACTGTGGGGTGTATTATACATGTGAGGTGTAATATACCACTACAAGTGTAATATAACTGTAAGGTGTAATATACCACTTCAAGTGTAATATAACTGTGAGGTGTAATATACCACTTCAAGTGTAATATTACTGTGAGGTGTAATATACCACTTCAAGTGTAATATAACTGTGAAGTGTAGTATACCACTTCAATTGTAATATAACAGTGAGATGTAATATAACTGTGAGGTGTAATATAACTGTGAAGTGCAATGTCACTGTGAAGTGTAATATAACTGTGAATTGTAATATGACTGTGAAGTGTAATATAACTGTGAAGTGTAATATAAATGTGAAGTGTAATATAAATGTGAAGTGTAATATAACACTTTATTTTAAGTTACCTTGTAATAAGTAAGATGTAATTGTTCCTTTTATTTCATAATCTGCCTTATTCTAGTTAGAATATGAATAAAAATGAAAAAAGGAATGAGAAATGCAAAACACAAACAAATAAATAAATATAAAAAAAAAAAAAACTTGTCATGTTAACGACCTGCAGTTGGATGCAGCAGGCTTCTCTGTTCTAAAATATAGGTGAGAACTGTTTAAACTGAGTAAGCTAAGATAATAATTAATGGGTAACTTTTACAAAGACGTTGTCTTCATCTGTGTGCAGCGTCTTGATGAACACTCTGTCACGTGCTATATATAACATAAAGCTGGCGATCGATGATGGTATAGTGTTGTGATCTGTCTGAAGCTCTGAGTCATTTAAAACTATGTGCGTATACTAATATGTTTATCTAGTCTGCCTATACTTATGTAGCTTCGAGCACGTGCGTTTCCTCTTCAAATACGCCCGTGCGCTCGAAATAGATGATTTAGGGAAAGCTTTGTCCGCTGAAGTTAGCTATTGGGAAAGGTTTTTTTACACTTATATTGCTTTAAATATCAAAGAACTATTTAAGGAGATAATCATTACGTTCTCGGACTTCCGGCATATCCGCAACAAAACGGTTAATCAATATCATTGGTTATTTTTGGCGTTATGATAAGAGCAGTCTATTTTTAAAGTTTTTATGACGTCAACAAGATAGCGCTGACAAAATAAAACAGCAGTAATGCTACAGACATTGTGTTAGAATTCAGCTGGCTACTTCTGATGGAAGTATGGCCTGGGGTCTGCCTTAGAAAACGTTACACAAATATGTTGGATGAATCATGTCTGCCATTTCGTGCTAAGAACCGACGACTGTATACGTGTGTTACCGTTACGCAGGAACCAGCCGGCTCTGTGGGGTGACGTACAAGTCACTTTGTATCGTTTGATTAGTCTGAGATTTGATTGCAGTGTGTGAAGTTTGATAACTTTATTTACCAAACTGTTTTGTGATTGTGTATAGCAGTGCATCATTTCCTTTTTTTTCCTATTGTTCGTACAACGTAATTGAATACACCAATTTATGCTGTCTTCCGACCGTACATCCAGGCGAAGCTTGTCGCTGATGTTTGAGAAATTTGTCACGTGTGAATTCCAAAACACAGGATCAAAGATATCCGGGATATAATATCAAAAATTACAAACGCACAACTGACTATATCTAAGTAGCTTGATTAGTTAGAGAGTGTGAAAAAACTAGGAGCTGTTTAACTTGATATTGTTGTTTACGTTAGAACACAGGTATGGTAATAGATACCAGGTGTTACCCATATATAGTGGGCAGTACTCTAGTATAACCAGTGACAGTCAGTTGTCTCCCCTAGCACGGCAGCGTGGATCGTGGATATTAAACGGTTTTTGATAAGGAATCTAGATTCTAGATTCTGGTTGAACAACCCGGATTGTGTAAAGCCATTCTGTCCTTGTTATTATCACAACAGTTTGGATGTAGTTTAAGAACTCTACAACTGATAATTGCATCTAAATCTAATCCGAGCCTAATTATATAAATACCAGTGGTTAGGTTTGATATCAAGAAACGTGCTGTGACCCATTTATCGTAATTGGCCTCATTCGCATAGACGCTTCGCTCGAACCGGTGTAAAGTTGCACAACATACCATATGATATGGACGCTGATTTGTTTACCATCTATGCAATTAACAACGACTGCGCTTCCACGTTGAAAGAGTACTGAAGGAAACCTATCTCAAATTCATCAGATCATGACACAGTGTTTATTGTGTGTCGTTATTAGTATATATAACTAATATACAAGACCCAACCTGTAAGCCATCATATACACTTAGTCACCGAACGGTTGTGCGTCCGCGTATGAACATGTTTATAACTAGGAAAAGACCTACGTCATACGATGGAACATAGAGAATATCATTATTAATAAATCAATGCTGAAATCTCATAACTGGTTAAGGAGGATGCCCGATAATAATGTTTATCAAATCTGCAGCAGGGATCAATGGTCACATCATTAGCGCTGGTAAACAGTGTATACAAATCTCTGACGTCATAGCACGCTCATAGTGAAGCCTGAAACAGTTCCAAATCTACATCCACTGAAACGTGAATACTTAGAGAAGGATATCTACCCTGGTTCCGCTGACTAACACGAACAGGTTTTGAAGCCGGAAACGTTTTGATTGCCACCTCTTGTTTTCTAGTTTGGCAGTATTTATTTTTCCCAAGGATTACAATCTACGAAGAATTTTATAGGACCAAACATAAACAGCCAGTTTGGATAGTTTCTCTATAATCGGTTACTTATTGATGGTGATCTAGACACAAGTTTTCCCGATTCTGACACTGAGGAACTTGTGTAAATTTACTCTCCGGACTAAAACGCACACATACCATGAAGAGTGAAATGAGTAGCTCTAAGGTAGGTTACGTCACTTTGTATGGAACTATTAACTGGCCAAATTACATTTCCAATGTTCTAATGTTTCATATTAACTGTTTTTCCTTCTCCTCTTTATATTGTAGTTACTTTTTCTATTCCTCTTTCTTTCTCCCCGATATCTCTTTCTCTTCATTACCCTTCTTTCCTCCTCTGCTTTGTAGTTGTAGTGTTGTATTTGAAGTCAGAACATCTTCCTCCTGATTCTCCTATTCCTGCTTGTTCTGTATTTCTCTTTTTCTTACGTGTATCCTTCACTTGTTGCTCTGTTTGTCCTGGTGGTCCCTTCCCTCCTGCTCTGTTTGTCCTGCTGGTCCTTTTCATCCTGCTCTGTTTTTCCTGCTGGTCCTTTTCCTCTTGCTATGTTTGTCCTGTTGGACCCTTTCATCCTGCTCTGTTTGGCCTGCTGGTCCCTTTCCTTCTGCTCTATTTGTCCTGCTGGTCATTATCAACCTGCTCTATTTGTCCTGCTGGTCCCTTTCCTCCTGTTGTTTGTCCTGCTGGTCCCTTTCCTCCTGCTCTGTTTGTCCTGCTGGTTCCTTTAATACTGCTCTGTTTGTCCTGCTTGTCCCTTTCCTCCTGCTCTATTTGTCCTGCTGGTCCCTTTCCTCCTGCTCTATTTGTCCTGCTGGTCCCTTTCTTCCTGCTCTGTTTGTCCTGCTGGTTCCTTTAATCCTGCTCTGTTTGTCCTGCTTGTCCCTTTCCTCCTGCTCTGTTCGTCCTGCTGGTCCTTTTCCTCCTGCTGTTTGTCCTGCTGGTCCCTTTCCTCCTGCTCTGTTCGTCCTGCTGGTCCTTTTCCTCCTGCTGTTTGTCCTGCTGGTCCCTTTCCTCCTCCTCTGTTTGTCCTGCTGGTCCCTTTCCTCCTGCTCTATTTGTCCTGCTGGTTCCTTTAATACTGCTCTGTTTGTCCTGCTGGTACCTTTCCTCCTGCTCTGTTCGTCCTGCTGGTCCTTTTCCTCCTGCTGTTTGTCCTGCTGGTCCCTTTCCTCCTGCTCTGTTCGTCCTGCTGGTCCTTTTCCTCCTGTTGTTTGTCCTGCTGGTCCCTTTCCTCCTGCTCTGTTTGTCCTGCTGGTCCCTTTCCTTCTGCTCTGTTTGTCCTGCTGGTACTTTTCCTCCTCCTGCTCTGTTTGTCCAACTGGTCCCTTTCCTTCTGCTCTGTTTGTCCTGCTGGTCCCTTTCCTTCTGCTCTGTTTGTCCTGCTGGTCCCTTTTTCTCCTCCTGCTGTTTGTCCTGCTGGTCCTTTTCATCCTGCTCTGTTTGTCCTGCTGGCCCCTTTCCTTCTGCTCTGTTTGTCCTGCTGGTCCCTTTTCCTCCTCCTGCTGTTTGTCCTGCTGGTCCTTTTCATCCTGCTCTGTTTGTCCTGCTGGTCCCTTTCCTTCTGCTCTGTTTGTCCTGCTGGTCCCTTTCCTCCTGCTCTGTTTGTCCTGCTGGTCCCTTTCCT